TGAAATGTTCCTCATGGAAATGCAAGGAAGTCTTAAGGCAAAAGTTTGGCTCAGATTTACTTTCACAATAATATACGGGGGTCTTTCTGGGCAGTGCAAGAGCTTGAATAGCTCTTTTAACTAGAATATTGGTATACATTGATATTCCAATTAAATTTAACTAAAGATCCTATTCAGCAGTATTCTTGTAATCTGTCAGTTTAACAAATTCATCTGAATTCGTCTCATACAAACAGTTAAGGAAAGTATGTATGAAAAAAGCTGGGTTCCGCAAAATCCCTTAATTAACTTTGAGACTTGACCTTTCATCGGAGTTACGGGACTCTGAATGGTTGACTTCTTCGCACAATCCAACTTTATGATAATTCTTCTGTTTCAGGGGAGGCCAACTTTAGCTTCGAAATTAAATGTCGAGTCACGCTAATTAAGGAACGTGGCCTAACAGTTGGTATATTTGATTATTACCAGTGGCAAGTTAAGCAGTTACTGTTTATAATTACTAGACTTCTTTAAATAAAATGACACACTCAACTAGTCTTCCTTTGGTCTTAATTTACTATCCCAAACAAGCATGCACAGATAAAAGGTTATCAACTTAATCTGATTAAGGTCCAGCATTAAGCAATCAGAGTTAAGAGGTCATTAAACCTTCCTGACCACGGATAGGTACTATGTTATTTTAAATTTATTCAATACATAAATTCGGTTTTCGCCCTTATACATACGCGTTACTGCAAACAGGTACATACACGCATACACATGTACATGCTTCCAGATTGACACATGAATTCAACTGACCAAATCATAGGTTTAAGAGATATACATATATAGCATGCAGGAATAAGCTGGCGAATTCTTTTTACTCAGCTTGATTTATTTGTAAGAATACTTCCTTGTTCTGAAAATATGCGTCATATTACTGATATACTGATATGAATTTTTCACAATAATCCAATGAGATTGTCTAGTAAATAGCGTCAACCAGAATTTTCCCTTAAAGACAAATTATAGCTGGTTGAAAGAAACCCGACGTCGCCTTTTGGTGAGATTGAGCTTCAAAGCTCTTCATCGCACAACTTCATCCGAAATGGAAATGACCTCAGCAGTTTTAAGCTAAGAGATGCCTAAAAACCATAGTTTCTTAGTATATAACATTTGCTGGAAAACATAACTAAATATGTTCACCAATTCCGACATGCCTTGAAGATACGAAAAGTTGCGTTTTTCTATAACAGCCCTAATGGCGAAGCCTTCAAAACACGATCCTTCGATTCAGATAAAACGTTCATAGCCTTCAGATACCACGTTAAGTGACATGCATTCTTAGGCCTAAAATGCTTTTCTATGGTAACTTCAACCTTACGGCATGATGAAAACTAAAGGGCTAGTTTTTCCTAGCAGTATGTTTACTCATAAATAAACTCAACTAAATCAGATATAGGATAGAAAAGTTAGGAATAAGAAACTGGTATGACTTCAGCCTATTTTCTTTTTTTTCGTTATCAAGAAAGGTTTCGAGACTACGAGTGGATCTTGACTATGAATTGTGTTCAATCTATTTTGTTTAACGTGATAGAAAGCTGGTAGTTGAATTTTCTCACAATCTGCTAAGTTTATCTCCCGCTTCCATTAACTTTTGCATAGGCTTGGTTCCCAAAAGGTATTTTAATCCATTGTGGACTGGACCACAGTTTCGACCTCGCCTGAACTGGTGTTATCAGCACCACGAACGGGACTTGAACCAGGATTTTGGTAAAGCAGCATAACGTTTTGACACGTCAACGATTACGCCAGACTGCCACGAGTACTCTAGGGTAACGAGGCAAATGTGAATCTCAAATCTGCCTTAATCATATGCTATTTTGTGGTGGGATCGTCGAGGATGCAGTTGCTATCGCAATAAACAATATTACTTATTTTATTTTTTTAGTAGGGTCTCAAGAATGACAGTATAACTGGAATAAGTAATCTAATGCTAAATTCAATGGTAACATGAGGCCGATTTAGACAATTGTGGTAACATTTAATTACCAGTACTTCATCAGCTTAATGAAACAGAGTGAATGCAGCTCTTATTCACGATCTACTGTTTGTCTCGAAACCCTACTGAAAGACGAAAATAAGTAATCTAGTCGATTGTAAAAGCATATCTAATTTTGCTTTATTGACGATCTAACCACAGAAATTGATGTGGGAAAGGCCTGGCCTCTCTTGAAATGCATGTCTGGCGTGTGATACAAGGGCCCCCGTGGCAGTCTAGCGTAGTGGTTAACTTGTAGAGACTTACCTGGACAACCATAAC